GGACTTGTCAATTAAGGTTACCTAAAATGATAGTACCGAAAAAATGTTAATACGGACAGTGATAAATATTTTTGGAAAAATAAGAAAATTTACTTAGTTCTAATTGCATATCTCCCCCCGGTATTTAGAATATTTAAGTAATGAACTGAACCCCCCACCCCGACCCCTCTCCGATATTTAGAAAATGCAAACTATCCTATTGCAGAAAAACATTGCGATTTTTTTTGCAAAAAAATTTGCAGGTTTGAATTGGAGCAGAAAGATGAAAGATGTAGATTTAAGTTGGGGGACAAAATAACAGGAGCCGGTCTTTTAAGGATCAAATACGGTGGCATAGTTCCCAGGAAGGCAAAGTACAAACAAGGAAACGAGGTCAGAGTGCAGTACGGAGGACCGGTTTGCAATATAAGCATGCGCAGACAGGCCCAGACGGAACAGACTGCCTGGCGCCCAGCTTCCAGGGATGGATATTGGTAAAATAAATTTTGAAAGCAACTTTTTTTTAAGATAAAATATATTTTTCAAAAAATATATTTCATAATTATAAATATTTTTCCCTGAAACATGAGAATTGCAAACCCTAGTGGGGCCTCATGCCTGGCCTTGAATGAGATCATCAAGCAGTATTTTACTGCTGTAGACTAACTGTTAAGAATATCCTTTTACAACTTTGTAATTCATAAAATTGTAAAAAAGAACATTGTTAAAAAAAAATCAAAACAACAAATGTGAGTAATTGTTCACAAAAAATTTGATGCATATTGATCAGAAAAAAAGTTAATTTAATATTTTACCAAAAAAATAAGGAATGAAAATTCAGTTTACCTCAAATATTTAAAAAAAAACTTTTTATCTAAAACAAAAATTTGACATTTTTATGGATTTGGAGAATTTTAAACATATATCTCTTGGAAAACATATTTTTGGAAAATTTTGGGTTTAACCTAAATATATTTTTAGAGGCAAAAGGTTATTGGCCTCAGGAGGATACAAGGGACAAGATTACAGGAAGCCTAGGGTTAATGCCCCCAAAGGAAAGTATAGAAAGACCGTGTAGGGTTTACAGCCTCGAAGAGCCTCTATTTGAAATCCTCCAGACAAAACTAGGTCAACGCAGACAAGTGCAAGACAAATAAGAATGTAAACAAAAATCTTCAAAAGTGAAATAATTGTCTAAAAATCTTTGAAGTAAATAACTAGACCAAAACTTTTGGCCGGTCATATAAACCGGGTTTGAAGATTGTAAGCTTCTTATAAAAACATACCTGAAAATAAAAAATACATTAAATTAATTTTACAAAAAATTATTTTTTAAATGTACACCTGAGAACAAAAAGTATGTAAACAAAGACAAGGTAATTTTTTATCAAATACTTGTCAACTTTTCAGTCAAAAATTTCAAAATGAAAAAAAAACTTAATTTGCTTAACCTCTAAAATAAGAGGAAAGCTAAATTAATGTTGAAGTCGTTTTTTTCGTATCTTTTTCTTTTTGTGATTTTAAACAAGATGTTTTTCAGAACAAATTTCTGAGAAAAATCCAGCAAAAAGTTTGCATAACTATTTCTGGATGACTTGTCTTCAAAGAACTTCAAGACTCGAGGCCAAACCTGGGATTTCCAGGAGGCTAAGAGGAGGAGGCTAGGGGGGAGGATGGGGGTAAGAGGAGGTCATGATTCGTTCAGGGCATGAAATCCTTGAATTAATGAAATAAAGACTGACATCCAAATTAATCTTTTTGATAAATCATTTTCTTTGTTTCACAATGTCCTCTTCTTTCCCTTTTCTATCTATGTCTACAAACACTTTATGAATTTTTGAACTGTAAAAAAAACTTGGAATAAGGAATTTTAATGGTACTTCAACAAAAATGCTTCCAATTTCTATACAAAAAAAAATATGACTTTGATATTTCAGTTTAGTCAAAAGAAAAAAAAATTGTTCTTTGTTGTACAACATTCCGTCAAAATTTTGAGAAAAACGTGAACTCCAAAATGTTGACCTTTAACGTTTTCTTTTTCTGATCTTTAATTTGTTGCCTTGGATTGGATTTTTGTGTAGTGTGTACTGCAGTCAAACATTTACAACTTCTTTTTATTTTAGAATAAGTGTCAATTTGAAAATATAAAAAGAAAATAAAAGTATTTTCTGCAAATAACATTCTGAAAAAAAAAACTATTTAAAATGTTTTATATTTAAAGGCTGAATTAAGTATCAATATATTAATTTTAACGAAGGATGCAAATTAGCAAATAAATGGTAAAAAATAAAGTTAACAAATTGTTTGTTTGTAAGATATTAATATAATGGAACTGTTGATTTTTCACCAACTCTTTATTTACCGTATTATGCATGGACTGTTTTACTAAGAAGATGAATATTTTCTGCATTAAACAAAGCACTATCGGCCTAGATGAGGGGAGGGGGGGCACTCACCCTCCCAATATTATCATGGAAACTGCCATGGTTTAAAAACCAGTCTTCTGTTATTATTTAAGGTTATTGACTCAAAGTTTAACTATTACAGAAGAAAAATGGAAAAATATTAATATCAGGTTTTAAACATGAAGCCCTCAGAATTGCTTTAGTTTGCATTTATTTATATTTTTATGTACTTTTATAGTTCACGTTTTTTCTTAGCATAAATTCCCGTACTTCTATGCATGCAGTTTGCTGAACTCTTACAAAAAAGTACATATTTTCTTTATTTTAACAGCAACCCCCCCCCCCCATTATAGATGTTTAGATGTAAAAATAAGTTTAAGAAACGGCTGTATTTTTCTATAAATTTTTATCTAATATTGCTTTTTTTCCATTGGTATTTTAGACAATGGGCAACGTTTTAAGGTCCGTTTTAGAAAACTCAAAATATTTTTAAAATACAAAATCTGAAATATTTATCATATTTCAAAATTGTACGTTGTTTCAGCTTCTTGTAGTGCACCTTTATAGTAAAAAATAATCCTTTAATTTTAAAAACGGACCTAGATACTGTTTATGAGAATATAGGTCAAAGTTTGTTTAATGTTTATAGTTAACAAGTGTTTACAACAAAATGGCAGAAAAAAAATTAAAATCCTTTATAAACAATGATCTGAAATCCATACTGATAATAAATAAAAAATATAATAGGAATCAATCTAAAATGAAAATTAATTTAAAACATGTATGAAAAAATTATTAAAAATAAATTCCTATAAAAAGGAAGAAAATTATTAGGAACCTCCATCAATTACAAATATAAAATCCGAGACAAATTTGCATTGCAGAAAAATTCAAAATTCAAATATTTTTTGAACTTTTAAAACCAAGCACGGATTGAACTGGTTTCCAAGTATTGTATTATTCATGGTAGCCTTCAGTTTGAATGTCATGATTTAGTTATTTCATTATTAATGGGAAAATACATTGTCCGGTAAGATATACAAAACAACTAGCAATAAGTGCCAACCACATTGCTTCATCATATTTCTGGGGCATTCTAGAAAATTTGGACAGATAGCGTTCGATTCATCTTTAAATTTTCGGTTAATTTTTTAAAGAACGTGAAACCGAATAGTTAATATTATTGTATTAAAAATATTATAAAAAAAAACATCTTTTAATTCTAAAACTCTGACGAGAAAGAAGACAAAGACGACAATCATTCCGTTCTTTATTGGTTATCACTGTAAGTCCAGTAGGTTAGGTTGGGTTAGTTTAGTTATTAAATTATTAAGACTTTATTTGTCTGACTTTGACTTGAAGGATTATTTTAAATGTCGTCTTACATTACAGAAAATCTGGGAAAATGTCGTATTCATTCTGGAACGTTTTTCGCATAATTTCATTCGTATAATCTAGATTTCAAGAAACCTAATAAAACGAAGGAAAAGATAATAGAAAAGTATCGTTTCGGTGAGATTTCTGATTTTATTAAAAGCGTCCTCTGTAATGTATTAGAAAGCTCTGGTAACTTTTAGGATATGACGAGGGAAGAAATAAGGAGGCAAGGGCGTACACAGGGGTGCAAGGGGGGCAGTGCCCCCTAGACCTGTAAAGGGGGGCGTAGCCCCTTTCTTAGAACTCAGAGCTATAAAAATTTTCTACTGAAGAGTGAAGAGCATAAAAAATTGATTTGCTGTATTATCTGCTAGTTTTGTTTGAAGGAGAGATAAAGTAGTACTTGCATGGTAATTGGACTATTGTATGTGTACCTTTTAAGAATCCAAGAAGCCAAATGTTTTGAATTTACAGTTAACATTTTTTTTTTTTGGGGGGGGGGGCAAAAATTTGTTTGCCTACTGCATATTAGTCCCCCCTCCCTAAAATTATTTCTGTGTATGTCCTTGTAAGGGGTGGAGGAGGGGGGGGGGGAGGTAAAATTGACAAATTACAACTTTTAGGTCAACTGAAATATCACATCAATCACAGGCTTTAACATGTAAGAAGATTTCAAATGTCTCAATAAAATATTAAAGATTTTGATTCATTTTGAAGATCTTGATTCAATTTCTTGAAGAGACAGACAAGATAGACAATAGCGAACACAATGACATGGTCATTGGTCAGACATGGCAAACATTAACAAACAAAAAGTAGACATAAAAGACATGGTCACTGGTCACTGGTCAAACAAGACAAGATCGTATATGACGGATTTGTTTAGATCAATAGCCATTAAAAATCACAAATATAAATAAAAGACCAGGGGAAAAAACGAAAAATTCGAATTAGCTAAAAATATAAGTAAATAAAAAATCCAGACATAAGCAGACAGATGGGAGCATTAGTCCCGTAGGAATACAATAGTGCTGAGTTGGGTTGCATTTGCTAAACTTCTTGAAACCTTATCCTAGTCCTTGGAATTTACTCCTGGGACGGATAAAATGCATTTCTACCATTTAATTGATATTTTTATTCTTATTATTAAAGGAAAACTGTAATTATTTGTTTCAAAAGTTTTTATACCCCCCCTACCCATATTCTTCTCATACACGCAGAATTTGGTTTTCAAATTACCTTTTTACTTGCAAAGCTTTCAAATCCACGCTGTCTTGGTTCACCGTGGATGAGTTTATCTCCCGAGTAGGATTCCCACCACCCGGATAACTGAGGAGCACAACCTTGTCCCCATACACGCAGGGGGTGTAGCTGAAGTAGTTGCAGGTATGAAGGTTATCATCTCCTGCTCCTGCTCCTCGTAGGAACACATTGCAGATCTTGCAAGTTTCCAGGACGAATGGGATACTTTCTCTGGGTTCTAGGTCGGAGCAACAGGTTCCAACGTTCTTCATCTTCTCCTCGTCCTGGAGGAACCTCTCCTCCTGGGGCGGAACACTGGAACCACGATGTTTGAGGACGATTTCCAGCTGGGGAGGGTGTAAAAATACCCCCGACGTGACAGAAGCCCGACGGGACGGAACAGACCCTGAACTTATCTGGTTTGGAGGGATTACAGCGCAAGGTTTCTCCGGGTTTTGTCGTGCAGGACTGGTGCTTCGTCTCTGTACCTTGTAGAGAAGGTTGGAATTAGTTACAGCTGTATCAGCAGGCTGAGCCACACTGTGACTAACCCTATAGGTATTCAACCCTTGAGGTATCCCGTTTAGATCATAGTTGCTCGAATCAGGATGATTCCCAGAGTTTCCGAATTGATTTCTTTGATTCGCCGAGAATTTCTGATTTTCCAAGTTCCCTGGGTCAGGAACTATTACATAATTTGGCATCCCATGGTTTCCAATATTTTCCGTACATACATTGTTACCGTGGGGCTCAGTATATCCATGATGCCCGGCTTGATTTACATAATATCCAGTATTGATGCAACCTCCACCATTACCATTATTTCCATGAGGAAATGGAAATCCATAATCATTGCTGTAAGTCTCATTTAGATATCGCAGATTTTCTGGATTTGAATGATTTCCATAACTCCCATAATTTCCTAAGATTCCAAGATTTCCATGGTTTCCGTGGAATCCATTATTCCCCGAATTTCCATGGTTTCCAAAGCAATCATGGCATTCATTTCCACAGTTATTTTGACCACCGTGAATTCCTTGAAAACTTGGGATTCCAAAATTACAATGATTTCTGGGATTGCTATTAAATCCATTATTCTCAGGATATTCTCCATGAACTCCATGATTTCTGGGATCTCCATCGTTCAAATGATTTCCATGATTTCCAAGACTTTCATGGTTTCCATGGTTACCATGATTTCCATGGTTTCCATGGTTTCTATGGTTTCCATGGTTTCCATGGTTTCCATGGTTTCCATGGTTTCCATCGCTTCCATGGCTTCCATGGCTTCCATGGTTTTCATGGTATCCTTGATCAAAGTAATCATAATGCTCATGATCACTTAAAGTACGATTACGATTCAGATTTTTCTGAACAGGGAAATTATAGGATCCGTTCCCTGACACAATCACCAGGTTCTGCAGATATCCGCTCAGCTGTGGAGGACTTAAAGGAACTGAACCACTACCCTGAGACTGATGGTGGGATAGGTTTTGATTTGACACGTAAGGAGATGTACCTGCCTGCATTCTCCGATCTGATCTGGGAGGAGACCTGGAGCTGCGAGACAGGGAGCTGAACCTGGAACCGGATCCATTCTGGACAAACTGTGACCCATTGGGCGCAAAGGCGGACGTGTAAACACTTTGTGTGGAGCCCATGGGAGAGACTCCAGGGGAAGGGCCTCCACAGAGAGAGCCTCTAGCAGATACAGAAGGAGGGGCAGGAGATGAAGCCCTGGAGGTCGGGAGGGAGTTGCAGGGGGACATCGTGGGAGGGGTGTTCACAGTTAGAGTAAGGTCGGGTTGGGACACCGAGCTCACCCAACAGAGGTTAGATAGTTTGGAGAGTTTACGCATTGGTAGGTTGGGATGGAATTTAGTTTGCTCAATAATAGTTGGCTTGTTCAAAGAGGGCATAGAGGTGGAGGTAGAGGAGAGGGAGCTGGAGAACGGATAGACAAAGGTGCAGGGTAGGTACTGCACCCCTCCTCCTCCTCCCCGACTTTGCTGGTTGACGTAAATGGTACTAGGTGCTGGGGGCTGGCTGGATGATCTAGGTTTAAATCCATATTCGCAAAATATAAAATATAAACTTCATAAAAATATTTTTTTAAATCATATTGATTGAAAATAAATGAATAAACTGAGTAAGGATTGAGCTTGCTTCAAGTAGATTATACAATAAAACATTGTTTAACCCAGAACAGAGACAATAAGTCTGATTGTTTTGAATGCACCATTGTTCCCAGTAACTAAAGACACCATGTCACAACAGATATATTTAAAATATCTTGATTTTCACTTTCTTTAACAGAGAGTGTCAGAGTAATTAAAGAATTTATACGTTTTTTCGCTTTCGTCTGTTGAACAAATGAATGTTAATGTCTGTAAGTTTTAAAGATTGTTTTTTTTTCTATTTATATGTTAAAGGGTATCCATAAAACTCTGGAATAAGATGACGACATCATGTGTACTTGATGATGTTATAAAGCAAAGATCTAACAGTAGCTTGACAATCAACTTCTGAAGCAAATTGTCTTTGTACACTGCATAATTGTTGTCTATACTTATAAATTTGTATATATTTGATGATATTCCAAACTCATATTTTTCATTTATTTACAAAGTATATTAGTTTATCCAAAAAATAACACTATAATATTATCCATATTGCTTAACGGAATATAAAATTGACTAATCTGATGACACAAGTCCTGTATGTAAGACCTAATATGCCCGGCCTGTGTTTCTCAGAAGAATTTGCAATTCAAGAATTTTAAGCTCATTCCTCTTTTCTCAACAAGGAAAAGGTTAAACCTTAAATAATATTTTTGTTAAATTTTGAATAAAATTTTTGCCTTAAAAACATTTCCTTTAGCATTAAAAGAGACTGTAGAGTGTAGACACAATTTCAAATGACCATTCATTTGTAGATTAGCATTTTAGATTCTCAATGGTACCCTTTAAACATTCATCTGAGTAATGAGTAAGATGTTCTTACTTGAAGTGTTTAAAAACAACACAATATCTTTCTCATTGTTTCTTGAAGTGTTAAATTTTAAAAATTTCATTCATTGTCTTTGCTGAATGAATGCGTAAGTTACTTCATAAGAGAAACCACAATTAGAAATTATCATTTTTGGACATAAAAAGAAAATTTACGTCACAAATGATTGATCAGATAAATGTTTAAAGGGAACATCCGTAAATCGAATATATAAAGATAAAGGGTGCAGCCCCATTCATACAAGATAAAACGTAAATTTTACTTTAAAGGGAGTGACCGGTAATGTATGGTGGTTGAACTGAGAATGTAGAACTGTAGGAAATTTTATAGGATTGATTTGAGACATATAAAACATTTTAATGATGTATAATTACTAAGTTTGAGCGAAAATCGACTTTCAAACTCATCCATTTGGGGGGTTACGTTTTGAGAATCGATTTTTCAACAAATTTAACAAAAATTCTACAGTAAACTAATAAGTTGATTAGGAACAGGTTGAGAAAATAAAAATTAACTCTTCATCGGAAATAAGTAATTTTCAGTTATTAGTTGCTGTAATCTCTCATTGTTCACAATTATTTTCTGTAGTTTTTCTGTAAAGACGACATTTAAAGAGTTTGTAGAAATCTGCGAACAAATTCGTAAAGCGTAAGAAATTCAATAAAAGGATGAAGAAGAAATAAGTGAATCTAATATTGCTTTAGTGAGAAAATTTCAATTGAAAAATATGTTCACATCTGAACAGTTTAATGTAGAATTTTTGATACATTTTTCGAAATTGCTATTTAATAATTTAAAAAAAAATCGATTCTCAAAACTTAACCACCCAAATGGATAAGTTGAACGTCAACTTTGCTCACAAACTCCGTAATTTTAAATAATTAAAACGTTTTATGTCTCAAATGAATCCTATGAAATTTCTCCACTATACAACATTCTCAGTTCAACTACCATACATTACCTGTCACTCCCTTTAATAATTAATTTTTGGTTCTATTTTTTGTGAATATGAACCTAGGGGTGAGATTGGTTTCGTTAAATGATGTTCTGCTTGGAGATAAAGATGCATCTCTAGAAGGAGCTCCACTATTCAGGGCTCTAGACCTCGCCAGTCGTTTTATCAAGGGTTCCTCCCGGGGTGGTGACATGATGTTGTTTTAACAGTTTATGTTGCTGTTGTGTTGTTGTGTGTTCACTGTTGTGTTGTCTGATGTTGTTTACACTGTGAGGAGTGAGAAGAGACTAGAGGAACTCTACCCGGTGAATCTTTCTCAGGAGTAGACAGAGTTTAACATCATATTAACTACAACCCCCCCCCCCCTATGCATGATCTTCTCGCTTTTCTTATGGTAAGATCATCAAATAGTTGATCTTCCTTATTTCTGATCTTTTATGATCCATTGATGTCTAATTATCAAATTATAATATAATTAAAATATAAATTAAATTTAGTAAAGCATACAATTATAAAATAATAGATACTAACCTAGCCTATTTTTAAATTTGAATGGATGAAATCTTCGACAGAAAAAAAATTAAATATTGAATTTTTTATTGACACCTTCGTACCTGTTGTTATCAACAAATATTATTTTTATTTCCTAGGGGAATAGGATAAATTTGAAGGAATTTAGATATCCAACCCTGTTTTCTGTTTTCGTGAGGCATAAAGTAAAGATCAGATAACATGTAAACTGTGAGTAAACAATTAGGGACAGGGATTACTCGTACTTAAACCCTGAACTTAAACCCAATTTTTCTATTTTAGAAAATTTTTAATTTTATACAAAATCAATTTAGGAGAGAAACAAAGTTAAGATAATTTTTTTCCAATAAATTTTTGGGTGACTCGCAAAAATCGCAAGTAAAGGTTAGCGATAAACATGTGATTGTTACATAGTAACAGTTGCTGTAGGGGAATAAGGGAAGTATGTTTGCGTACATTTACAATCAGAACTGTAAAGTACAGAATACTAATTTTGAGAGATTATAATTTTCTTAAGAATGATGGTTCAAATCTAACAGTTTTTATTAACAGTAGTAATATTCTCAATTTGTATTTTGCGTATCTTTTAACCCATAATAATATTACGAATAATCGTAAGAACGAATATATTTAGTTTCGGTCTTGCTAGATTTGAAGAGTACAGGATCACACACAAAGAATGATACTTAAAAGACGACAAACGAAATTTTTGAGAACGAACGAAATTTTTCTTTAACGATGGTGTCGTTTAGAAAAAACGAAAGATGGACGAACGATTAGAATCGTTCAGAGAAAAAACGAACGAAAAAACGGTTTAAACCGTTCGAACGAACTTTAAAAACTATCGTTTTTTTAACTGGAAGAACAAATTTATCGAAAAAAAAACAATCGTTTTTTACTAAACAGAAGATTTTTTCGAACATAAAAAAACGAGTGTTTTACTAGAAGAACCATTTTTTCGAACAAACTTTTGAAAAAACTTTATTTTCTTTTACTGAAAGAACGGTTTTACTAAACTAACGATTTTACTTGACGAACGATTTTGCTGAATGATCGTTCAGTGAGAAAACGAACGAAAACAATTTTTTTAACGATTGAAAAATGAACGAACGAAATGGTCTATAAAGAACGATGAACGAACGAAATGGAAAAAAAACAGAACGCGCCAATCTCCAGGGAAAGCTATAAAAGTGATCCATTCTTTGAACTACTGTCAAAAATCAACACCCCTCTTGCAAACTTTAAAAAATGATATTTATAAAGATTATGAACAAGAGAAAGGATAAGGTAAGACTATTTGTCTAACGAGAAATGTTTTCGGAAAGGAAAACTAATCTTCTGCTAGAAATTAAGAAGCAAATTTCAAGGTTCGGATATGATGGGTGATGATTGGGGGGGAGGGGGCACGTGGGGAAAATGCATGGATTAAGGGGATTCAAGATTAAGGTCAGGATAAACGTGTGGATGTTTCTAATAATTTTCATAATTAACAAAAATATTATTTTTATGATTTTAAAAGATCTGGGGGGTCCAAGTATAAATTCTTGAAGTACAAACACTATCCTTTTTTTCTTTAACACACCATTTTAACAATCGTCTAACACACAAATAAACAAACCTGGTTTGTTTAGTTTTCAGTACAAACATAACGGATAGATTGGGAAGATGAAAAAATCAAGAATATTTAAAAGAAATAAAGATAAGATTTAGCAAATAAATTCTAGTGCAATGATGGCAACATAGTCTCCCAGTACAGCTGTAATCTTACGTCACAAGTATTAACTTAGTTTTGTGTCCGACAAAATTATTAATAATAGTGATAATTTTAGAATGAAATGCTCATCTTTTTGTAAAATAAGTGCAATTTTATGTGCTCTTTATTTTCTGTTTTTACACTTTTTGATTAGTTGATTAAATTACAAAACGATGTTTAGAAAAACGTTATAAATCAAATCAAAACAAATTAAATCAAATCAGGCTGTTAAGGAGTCCTGCTGTAATTAAGAATACGAAACATATAGAGAACTTTTTTTTATCTAATTATGAGGACAGAGGTTGAAATTTATCAACAAAATACCTAGTTCAACTATCTACGGCCGTTCTTCTACATTACGCAATTCAGAACATTTTCAAACAATTGGACATGAAATTGTATTCAATATATTAAGACTTAACTATAAATAAATATACAATTTATATATTTATATACATAATCGTTTTCTAACATTTAACGACATTTGATGGAGTTAAGGAAAGCTTGGAAGAATGTGAAGAAGGATAAAAATGATAAATTATGAGAGTACATATTCAACTATAAATTTAGATTTAAAGGGTGACAGCTTTATCCCTATACACCGGCTTATCCGGATACTATTATAATAACAAACTATGCTAAAACTTGTAAACCCCGATAAAGTTGCAACTAGAATAATATTAGTTTTAAACATGCATATGTAGTCAGGGGCAGAAATTGACGTCTGAGTTTAATAATCTTTCAAAAACAAATTCAAAATGTTTTCTTTTAACTCGATGGGAGCATAGACATAAATTGTATAATTTAAGCGTCAATTTCACAAAGACAAAAGTAGTTCTAGCCACGATGAAGGTATGGGCTCTACAAGATGGGGGTTTTCATATTCATTCACTAATCTAATCTTTTCTTTTCTTATATCAAACATTCAGACAGAACGAACAAATAAACAATCAATGCATCAGACATTGACAAACATATAGTAAAGATGATAGACAGTAAGGAAACAAGCAGACAAGCAGACAAGCAGACAATCAGGCTAGCAGACAAGCAGACAAGCAGCACACAAGCAGACTAGCAGTCAAGCAGACAAGAAGACGAGCAGACAAGCAGACTAGCAGACAAGCAGACTAGCAGACAAGCAGACTAACAGACTAGCAGACAAGCAGACTAGCAGACAAGCAGCCAAGAAGACAAGCAGCCAAGCAGACAAGCAGCCAAGCAGACAAGCAGCCTAGCAGACAAGAAGACAAGAAGACGATCAGAAAAGCAGACGATCAGACAAGTAGACAAGCAGACAAGCAGACAAGCAGACAAGCAGACAAGACGACAAGCAGACAAGCAGACTAACAGACAGACTGCAAAGAGGGAATGACCGTGGGTAAAATTACAGCGCTACGGTTAACTTGACTATGAGAGGACGGATTGAATTAGAGCAGAACTCCGGGTACACATGGAGACAAGATGTCTACCTAATCCTGCATCCGCAAATATGTACTTTTTACAGGGTTCGGTTTTCTCAGTACGTTTCACTCGTTCTTTTAAATTTTCTTTCAAAAATAGACATAATAATAAATATTAAATAATAATGATAATATTGTTCTACTTCTTATATCTGTAAATAATGTATATGTGAAAATGTTAATTTGTCGATTGAAATATTTTAACTTTAAGTGTTTTTAATTTAACATATTTATCTGCTCTTAATTCCTAGATAATTAGCCCAGTTTTCATTTATTCTACCCNCAGAAGGTCAACCCTTGATGTAGAAAATCAGGTTTTATTTATGATACCAAACTATTCATATCTATAAAGGGACATTTTTCGCAAATCTTTTCAATCTTTTTAGTATTAAATGATTTATCAAACTCAATAGAAGAATGTATATTGAATTTAGCTTTAAAAAATTTATTCGAGTTTTTCAGAATTGGCGACCAGTTCCTTTAACTCTTTATTTTAGTATCATTCATTACCCTTTCAAAAATGAACTGTAAGGTAGAGTAGGCGGACGTGTAATAAAACAAGGCAATGTTGTTTGCTTGTTAGTTGTAAATATAGGCTAAAATAACGTTAAATCAGGCAAGTAGACGTTGACCTCTAAAAATTGCACTAACAACTGGAAAGGAAGTGTACATATACAATATTTGTATGTTTTCTTGTGTGTCTGATGAAATCAGTTAACCTACATCTGCTGAGCTGGCCGGCCGGCCTGTTAATTATTTTACTCAGAGGAAGAAAATATTTACAGATAACGTTTGTAGTAGGTTTAAATTGTTCAAATTGTTTAAATTATCAAATGTTGGGATACAATTTTGTTTTTAATTCTCGATTTTTTTGTGTACTTCTAAACTATAATTGTTCATCAATTACGATTGAATATAATGTACAAGACTGATATTAAACCGTTATTTGTAAAATAAAATCCCACAGATTTAAACCAAATTTATTAGACGCTCATGCAAGAATACAAAAAGAGTAGACAAATATGGAAATGGAGGGGGGGGGCGGTTAGGAGGTAAGGGTTAAGGAGGTTTGGGGGGGGGGATAAGAGGAGAGCTAGGAACGATGAATGATATTTAAACATTTGAAATGAGGGCAGTCTTTCTGCCCTTGACTGAAGATATGGTTTAAGGGAGGAATACATTGCTTCGGGGCTTTTAGCCTTTTTGTCTAGGGTAAATTCGGATTTGAAAATACTTAGAATTTAGCAAAATGGACCGCAGGGGGAGGGGAGCTATAAAATTGTCAGAAAAACTTGTATTTTGTTCTTGGTACTCAGGTGTCAGCCGTACGGTGAATGTAATAAACAGTAAAATTTTAAAAAATAAAATCATTTTTTCCAAGAATATTTTTAACTCCTAAAAATCATTTAAGAAATTGGCAACGTAATTCAAAGTAATTAATGATTTTCAATACCGCCCTTTAAATAAACCCTGATTAAATCACCGAAAATGGAAATACCTTGGTTTTGTTTCTATCCAAAATGCCATCCTCTGAATTTTGAAACCGACACGTC